GGGGGCAACAGCCCGTCCCTACGGGACGGACTGTTGCCCCCCTCGTGCAAATTTTCTGGAATTTGCACTGATTTCTGTCACTTCCAGGAAGTTATTTGAAGCCCATGGTTAAGAGGTGAGGGTGGTTAGTCCTGAAGAGCGAGATTGTTATTTTTACACTAAAAGTATCAGGGCTTTAAGCAAATTAAGTTTTAAAAGATTGCCTGCAATTGTGCTGGACTTGACTTAAGATTTCAGGCAACCCGGTTTTCAAAACTCCAGGTAGATATATTTTACTCATAGTAATTATAACAATGATGCCAATATTTACACGTTCGCGTTATGACGTATGACTTACGTCACATCACAAGCTAAGAACACTTCGCCTCCACAACCCTCAAAACGTACACCCATGCTTAAGAATAATATAAAAAAAGTAAACAAACAAACTAACAAAAAAGGAAAAGATGCGATGACTCATAAAATGCGATCTCAAAGAAAAAAATATACGCTAAAATTTACTGACTTGCAAACTTTCTGTCCGTGTGCTCATTTAAAGAAAAGATCCATGCTGTTAGCTGTGTGTTGTGTGGTTACAATGAAACATAAACCTATCAAGATTTTAGTTCTTTGTTGGATATCTCATAAGCAGTAAATCAAAACTACATCACTCCGCGCAGGTTTCGTAGTTGTTATAATGGATCCCATTTAGGGAGGACTGACTTTCAATCATTGGTGTTTCTTCACCAGAGTATCTACTGTTATCCAGTAATTTCCGTTGTATTGGTAGAGGACAGCAAACAAAAAGTTTTTGGGCAGAACGACGAAGGCGTGTCTGGAATTGCTCAGTGAAAACACAAAACAGCAAAAAATTAGCAAACCCTTGGCTGCCGTCTCCAAATGCCTGTCAGAACAAAAAAGAAATAACCAAAAATTATGAATTATATTTTTACAGCCGAAAAAACTTAATAACTTTTGCTGGATTCTATGAAAGCGAGTTAAATAGCAAAGGCCTATTTTTTTTTTTTTTGCTGGTTTTTATGACTTGTGACTTGTTAAGCCGCTCGTCGATGGTCTCTGGTATATTATGGCAAGGCAAACCATCTGTGGTGTTAAAAACCTTTCACTTTTCTTTAGCCGAAAAAACTTAATAACTTTTGTTGAATTCTATGAAAGCGAGTAACATAGCAAAGGCCTGTTTTTTTGCTGCTTTTTATGACTTGTGACTTGTTTAATCTCATCGATGGTTTCTGGTATATTATGGCAAGGCAAACCATTTGTGGCGTTAAAAACCTTCACTTTTCTTTTTTTTCCAGATTTGCCCCGGATACAGTGAGCATGATCACCGCCCTCTACACTTTCGTAGAATATATAAAAATAATGATAACAACAACAATAATGATAATGATAATGTTACCATTTGAAACCGACTGACTAAATAATGACGTATGTGAAGCAAGATGAATCAGGGTCATAAAATAAGGTCTTTGTCTTAAACAGAATAGCGAAATGAAACATTTTTCTCTTTAACAGTGGCAGCAGGGTATGAAGGCCTCGGCGCCAGCAACACCTCTACCAAAACTTCCCTAGAGTTCCCCCCGGCTCCCGTATAATTCACATGAACATCTGACGAATTAGTTCTCTCTTAATTAAGACAGGAAACTTACTTGGAGATAAAGAAGCATCTTATTCCACCAAGGGCGGGATTTTACAGCGTCAGTGTATAAACATACGATGCATCGAAGTGTGCCACAGAAACGCAGCAGAAAGAAAACAATGGGCACAAAGGTTAACATTCTGTCAGCTTTTAGAACTATGTTCTTGATTTCTTGTGATGGAAATAGGTTTTTCTGATGAAGAATCTGAAAAAAAAGTCCGCGGTCTGTCTGTTAATAACTATGAAGAAAGATACCGTTACTGTAGAGGGAAAATAAAGGAGAAACCGTATAAAAAGGGCATAATAATTTCGGGCTGCGAATTCAACAGTTTCTCCTCGCTCCTCGCCGCTAAGGAGAAAAGATGGATGTATTCGCAGGCTAATAAATAACAAGAGAAAATATGAAACTTTATTGACTTTATCTTCGACATGAATATTTCAGTACCAAAACAATCAATATACTAACAAATGAAATAAAGTAAATTAAAAGTTAAGTAAGAGAGAAAGGAACAACAACTATATATTAAAGATTAACATAGAAAATTAGTGGATCCACATATAAATAACTTTTTCAACAATCCGAAAATATTTTGCAAATCCATGAAAACTATTTCAAATCGCAATTTTTGTACAAGTCATCATCGAAGAGTGTCAAATCTAAAGAAATATTACAAATCCTAAGAATTAAACTTATGCATCGGCAAATATCTTTTTAAAAAACTCGAAGATAGTTCACAATCCAAGAACCGTCGTGAAATCCAAAAAAATATTTTGAAAATCGGAAAAAATATTTTCTTGCGTACTTCTTTCGCCAGCAGTCAGCCAGTGTTAGACCAGGGTTTTCCCGCCATTTCCTTGCCCGCCTCCAAAATGGCGAAGGAAGTAGAGTACGATGTTCTGTCAATAATGTGGAGGAGAATTTGGAAACAATGAAATATTCTGCTGTTGGTGTGGAACACTAAAAAGACGTGAACAGGAAAGTGTGTTGTGCAGCTCGGGAGACAAGAGATCAGTAATAGAACATTACTTTAAAAGGGGATTTTGTTGTGGGACCATTGTTGATCACTTTCTGGCAGAATACCATGAGATTTCATTCAACGCGAAGACTTTGAAGAGAAGGCGGCTACGTCAGTTTGGATTTGAAGAAGAAACCATTTTCATCAGAACACCCTATTCAGGTAATAATCAAGGGTGAAATCGAGGGCCGTTCATCCACACTTCTTGGATATCGTGGATGATGTGAAACAAGCTAAGAGCAACCTACCACGTTACTGTTCCTCGAGACGTGGTCATGAAAATGTGCTAGAGCACTAGGATCCAGACGCATATGCTCTTCGTAAGATTAGAAAGCTGCAATGTCACGTCTCACCGGCGGGGCAAACTTAACGCAACGCGGCATGTCGATGGCTTCGACAAGTTGAAGCCGTATGGCTTACCTGATTCATGGCTATATTGATGGATTCTCTTGGAGAATTATATAGCTTAAAGTATGTAAAAGCAGCAACGACCCAGTATCCCAGCAAGTTTTTTCCTTCGTACGGTAGAAGACAATAGAGTGCGGCCAATGCTAGTCCCAACAGAGACTCTAGAACGGAAAATGGTATCAGATTGGCTGCCTCATAGTGCTTATTAGCCGGTAAAGTGGCCTGCGCATCGTTATTCATCTTCCCATACCAATGAGAGAATTAACATGCCGTGCCACGTTGCGTTTGGCCCTGGTGAGACGAACTGATGAACAGTGATGAAGGGCTCTCAATTTCACGTTTCTCTCTCCCCGATTTTTGTAGGGGAGGGTCCGTCTGTACACAGACTTCTCCCGAACTGGACAACACACTCTCCTGTTCACGTCTTTTTAGTGTTCCACACCGAAGGCAGATTTCATTGTTCCCCAACTCTCTTCCACATTTATGACAGAAGATCGTACGTTACGTTCTAACCTTTAACCAACGTCTTTCCTTTGCCATTTTGAATGCGGACAGGAACGGAATGCCGGGAAAACGCCGGTATAACTCTGGCTGACTGCTGGCGTAAGTAGCACTTAACAAAACTTTTGGTTTTTCGATCTTCAAAGTATTTTTTTGGATTTCATGACGATTTTTGGATTGTAAACTATTTTAGAGTTTTTTGAAAAGTCAGTTGCAGATCTAATAAGTTTCTTAGCGTTTGCAATGTTTTCTTTTTAGATGTGACGGAATCTTCAATAATGCTTGTGCAAAAATTGCGAATTGAAATAGTTTTTATGGATTTGCAAAATATTTTCGGATTGTTGGAAAAGTCGTTTGTGGATCCACTAATTTTCTTACGATTCGATTTCTAATAGTTTTTTAGATTTTACAAACTATTCGACAGAGATCTGAGAAAATATTTTGCGATTTGAATTTTTTTTTTTTTGGATTTGCAAAATATTTTTCGATTGCCCCTTTTCCGCTTCGGTAATGTAGAACTATTTAAAACTCTTTAGTGGAAATATGTAGCTTGATTACAGCCGCCCCCCACCTCCCCTCTTATTTTTTAGGGGATGGGGCGGCTGTGCACGGGCTAGAAATATGCCAATGCTCGCAGTTTTACCAGCTTAAAATAAAGGAACAGCTTGCAGGCGGCGTACCTCTTATAATTAATTATTAAACTTTAGCCTGGCTAGCAGGTGCTTATGGAACGGGGGCGAGCGACGGACCTTTTTCAGGCTTCAGGTATATGAAAGGGTAGAGAAAACTGTCATTGCGGTCTGTAAAAGGCCCAAAAGGCCGGCCTAACAAATGCTTTTTATGGCTGTGAAAAAGTCGAGGAAACGATCTGGTTTTGTGATTCAGTTATCTATATTTTATACAGTGCATTTACAGTAGTTAATAGGAATACAAAGTTTTTAAACAAAGTATGTGAAGGGAGTACCATTTGCGGATAGAAGGTGTACGAAAGGGATACTGTACATTTTCTGTCAAATGGAATATAATAGGGTAAGCGGTTGGACCACGGGGCGGAGCCTCCCCTGGTTATACTTCGTTGAGTACCAACCTCCACCCCCCGCCCCCACCACCCCCTTCCCCGGCAAGCGCCAGCTACGTAGGCTAAATTAACTCTTCAGATAAACGAAAGTTACCTGATTCCGAATATGGCACTTCAACATCAAGTAGAACACAGAGACAAGTATATAAGCAGTAACATCCCAGGATATTCCTGTCAGCCAAAGCCATAATTGCAAATCATTGCGTGGCAATCGTTCGTCTATAAAACACCAACCTGGTGTTAGAATGTCGTAGTTGCTTCCAAATTTGTCCAATTTGAAAGCGGTTCCTGCGATAATCAAAGGAATCCCCCAGCCAAAGACATGAAAAAATTTGAGCATTATCTCGGCTTTTCGACGCTGCTTCTTTGCTACAGTAGTGAACATGAAGACAGCAAGAAATGTCGTCCAAAGAAGCGACCATAAGTAAGCGCAAGTAGAGACACAGGCTTGTATCTTGCAAGTGAGATCATTCTTCTCGTGATCCGGACGCCATGTTCCAAACAGAAAACACACAGCAAGTAAGAAGTCGGCGACGGAGATGTAACAGAGAATTCTTCTTGAGGTTGATCGGTAATCCTTCCATGCGATATATGTAACGAAAATAACAGAGGTGCTAAACAGCGAAAGAATCGCTGTAATGGTAGTTATGTATACTTGGACTGGCCAAGACTTCGGTCCTTGAAGAGTAGAATTATTGTTGGCGACCGTCGCTTCTGTTAATATCATTTCCTATGTTTAAATTGAAGGTATGGGAAAGCAGCTTTTACAAAATCATCGATGAACTCATGTTTAAGACTGGTTATACCGGTTCAAGGAGGTTATGCCTGACTGTGGCGGCTGAGGTCACGCACGACACGTTATTCGATTTCAAGTGGGGTGTTACGTAGTAACGAGTTATGGATAACGGGATAAAAATTCAAGGGGTTAAAATAATAACTAGGGTATCTAAAAGATAGTAATGCTGCGGCACATTCTGTTGATACTGGCATTAAATAGGAAGTGAGACTTAAAAGAATCGAAAATGACATTGAATGTCTATTTACATTTTGAAAAGTACTAGAATAATTACTATCAGTCTATAGAAAGAACTCTTGGGAACGTTGTTTAGAAAATGATCAAGTGGTTATAACTCTGGTTTTCCCACAGTAAATTCTAGGAAATAATAGAAATTCAGATTGTTTATCCATATAGTTAATATACGGTGCACGATATTTTCTCTGCAAACACAATACTTTTCTTGCTGTTTGTTGCACTTTATTAAGTAACAG